CCCCCATGACATTGGTGAAACTAGCAGTCCACTCGTCCATAACAGCAAACTAGTTCCATCATACATGAACACATTCACTCACTCCAAGCTCTTTCCTACGGTTCCGTCACTATGAAGTGCAGACAGGGTCTATTCAGCTCACTCTTCATCCTCCTAGTGAGAAATGAGTGGTTTCGCCTTCACTCCAAATATATCAAAGGCAGAGCTTTCCTACAGACAGCTGTTCTGGTAGTTAAAGAATGAGAGAAAGAGAGAAAAACAAAAAGTGAAATGCCCACCATGGACACAGACACATCACCATGGGCCTGTTAGATCAGTCTCCACCACAAGCCCCCTGGAGACTAGGTTATCGGGCACGGTCAGTGCCTAAGTGGATGCTGCGCAGCCCTGGGTGGTAGAAGACTCTCAGCCTGATTGTGCGGCTTTTAAGGGAGCACAAGAACTGCCTGTGCCTCGGCGACTGTGCGAGTTGGGACAGCGGGCTTAAAGTGTGCAGAAATCACAGCACTGATATTGTGCCGAAGGGCATGTTATGCATATTCACAATGCCAGTACTATTATGAGGGCTCTTCACAGCACGAGAGTGGCATCTGGACCCAGCTTCCTCTTGTGCGCTGATATTTGTTCAAGTAATGCTACTCGGAAGGTAACCTTCCCAAGCTGTACACAGTAAAAGCACCCCAAATAATCACCTGAAAGTGACTCAACATTAATAAAGTTAGAAAAGAAACTGACGAGAGGGTCTTAAGCAACTATCCATTGAACTGATTCATTACAGCATTTAATGCATGTAAAACCCTTTATGAAAACAAACAGAAAGTAAGTGATTACATTAGGCTGTTGACATGCTGCAGTCACGCACCAAGTAAATGGCACAAACAAAACAAGTGTGATTGCGAAGGCTCTGTAGACTTTAGCCCTTCCTCAGTGTTTTCCAAAATGTACCGATAGGCCAATATTCCAGACATTCAGAAGCAGGCTTTGTTGAGGTTAAGGGTAAACACATGTGGCTCAAACTTTGGATATGTTTCAGTGCCGTCTTTTGATTCCAGCATCTTTATCCCAATCCTGGCAAACAGGAAGGAGTCTGTGTCCAGAAGACTGCCAGGACTCTTTCGGTTTACCCATGACTCTCACAAGAGTCCTTCTGCTGCATCATCATCATCATCATCATCATCATCTCAAACAGCTGGGGCTTCATATAATACACCATAATACTAGTCTGCATGTGTTTCTGTGCTCACGCATATTCAAAGTAGATTTGAAGGGTAAATTGCTTAATGATTTCTGGGAAAACTATAAATTGGGGTACCAAATAAGCACCATTACTACAATTTGATTACCATGCAATTGAATTAGAGGGTAATCACCATTTCTATATATCATTATATTGAAACGCAATACAGGATTAGTTTATGCTGTTGGCTATGGGGAGAAGATATGACCATCTAAATAAAAGGGGGAAGTGTAAATCTACAGCTTTTAGCTAACCATTAAAGAGCAAAACATCTTTTCCTGGAAACTGTCACACAAGGGAGAGAGGCTCTAAAGCTCAGGCTGAGGGCAGTAGATTATTGAAACAATGCTTCATCAGACAAACACTGAATCTCTGTGATTGGTACTTGTATCTGTGCAAGTGTCATCCAGGGTCCCCATCATGTAGAAGAGCATAGTTGTGAATTCACGGCTAGCTCATACAGTACCCTGTCAGGGGGGAAAAAGTGAAAATGTTTGGAGGTTCAAAAGGTTAGGCCGCACCACCACTGTACTTTTGTAACATCAGTCTGAAACATATTTGCACCTTATCTAGGTCTCTTCAGAAGCAACAAATGCAATTCAATATTTGGTCTTGTCTTGTCTCATATATATATATATATATATATGAACAAAATGTGCACTTTTTAAAAATTTATAAAATGCTGCTGACAAAACGTGTATCTTCAACTATACATTGTCTTATGAATAATCAGACAATAAATTATTAGTCATTATTCACAGCTTGTTTGGGAATCGGTCTACAGTGGGAGCGCTGCATGTTTTTGATTCACTAAAAATAACCAACTCCTAAGATTAATTTGTTTGATTATCGTATTACACTGGTTGCGTCGCATGCGTCTGATTCATAAAAAAAATAAAAATAAATGGCACACCTACTGTACCCTTTAACATCAGTCAAAAACATTTGTACCTCATCTACCCTTAAAGGGTGCATATTAGTAGGTGTGATATAAATACTACCAATACACAATAAATTACTATAAATTATATTATTATTATTATTATTATTATTATTATATATTAGTAACAATAGTAAAAAAATATTAATATGAATATTAATATAAAAATAAATTACTACTACTACTACTAATAATAATAATAATAATAATAATAATAATTCATAATCATTAATCATTGAATTAATAAATGCATAAAACATGCTGACTATTACTATTATTGCTAAATAATAATAATCGTCAAATTATGCCAAATAATATGTAGTTAATATGGAATGTTTTCAGGGTGTTGATGAAGGTATACTTGGTATACACTGAATGAGGCTATGAGGGAACATAAAAAAAGGTTAGGAAACAATGTAAAAGCTGTTATACCCCTAAAGTGTAGATGTAACGGTGAAGATTGATATTGAAAGGCTGGAAACATGTAATCTCTACAAGCAGCTTTCCACCAGTCAGCACTGCAAGGTAAATGCATTAACGGAGCCTGATAGGACAATTTTATTTGTCACAAACAACCATTAATCTTAAAGATGCATCATGGTATTACTTCTTCATACATGTTCTCACTCACCACCCATACTGTATTTGCTCACGCAAGAGTGACTTCGCTTTCTTTTCTGCAATGCCCCATGGGATATGTCAGCTATCACATAGATTGTGACGTCCTTGACAATCGTCCAGATGTCTTTGTGCTGTGATGGAGGATGAAGACTTGTGTCCCTCAAGCTGATGGGCATCAGGCAGGCTTCTGAAGAGTCTGCGTTGTCAAGTGATGGCTGAATGAAGAGGGGAGTGCTGGGGGGCAGAGGAGAGACACGGGGCTCCATTAGTGCAAGAGTCCCGCTCCAGAACAGCTCGTCAACCCAAAGCCATCCACATTTTAATACACTTAACATGTACATCAACACATTTTACAACAATACTTCAAATAAATATGCATGTTTATAAAGTGATACAAATGTAATACCTTTAGATGAACTACATGGAGTGAACCAGTGCTATTGAAATGCCCTGAATCCCGCCAGCACTCTTTGCATGTGCTGGTTTACTTAAGCACACAGGACCAATCAAGCCACTGATTACTCAAATGGGCTAATTAAGGCTCATTAGACTCTAAATCCTGACACCTGCATTCAGTACACTCTGCATGCGGACAGGGCCACAGCTTCTCTCCCACAGCACGTGGCTCTGCTAGTGCCGAGTTCACAATGCACATACCCCAGATAGTCACGCAGTGTGAAAACAACGGCGAGCCGACGAGTTTGAAAATCGTGCAGTGTGAACTCAGCATAGCTGTCAACACTGGCTCCAACAACTGTCCAAGTCATCGGTCCGCTTTTGTTCCTCGCCCTTCACACTCACTTATAAGGATCGACAGGTTTTGCGAAATCACCGACAAATGCCCGAAATCGGAGGCAAATTGGTGCCCGTTCACGCGAGTGACAATCACGCAGTGTGAATTATCAAAGACACTATCTGAGGGAATCGCAGACACGTCGCCGATGCCCGTTAAATATTTGGCATGCTAAATATCTGGAGCTGTCGGCAATTCACAATCACGCTGTGTGAAATGAGTTCTGACTGAAAAACACATCCGCCCTTCACACTCACTTATAAGGATCTCTCCAATTATGTGAGCAGACTGGGGACGTTGTGGAGTGGCCCAGTGAAACAGAATGTGCCATGCTAAACAGGCTTTATTAGAGACAGCTTTTTGATGCTAACAGCAGCATTGGAGACAAAGATAAAGAACAGGGATGGGAATCGTGAAGAATTTAAGATCACGCATTTAAGTCTGACACACAACACAATAGCAGTCTAAACAAAACAAAGAATCATACTGTGAGCAATAAACCTAAATAACTACATCTGAATTCAAAATGATGATATATACTAGTTTATATTACATTTATACATGGTATCATAACTAAATGTTCGATTTTACAAATATGATATCTATATTATAGATCACTGTTTTCACCATTTTTCCAACAAACACACCCTTTATGACATTGAAACTTGTGTATCATATAGAATTCAGAGTTTCCCACGAGTAAATAGGACTTCACTTGATCATCCATGTGCTCAGAACTCATGATTATGATATTTCCGACTTTATTTGAGAGGCGCAACAGTGGGTGTGTCTCGTTTTGAAGGCTACGAAAATTAACCATGGTCACATATGCCATTGAAGATGTCTCATTTCATAAAAGTGACCATTACATTCCAAAGAAAGAAAGGAATGACAATTCCTCAAAGGGAAGTGTCAGTTTTATAGTGGTTAGTTTTCTGAAATTAGAAATCCTCACTGACATATGTGGCTAACAAATGCGACCTCAAGAGGGTGCATGCTTTGAAATGAGACACAGCTAGTAAGTACGTACTCTGATTAATTAGTTGTTTGATTTACTAAAAGAACTAACTTATAATAGTCATTTGGTTAGGAATTGGACTACAGCTTGAATACACTATGCTTTTGATTCACTAAAAACAACCAGCTCACATAAGTCTTTCACTTGGGAATCAAACTACACTGCCCACTATCTTTTTCATGCTGTATATTCAGCAGTGGTGCTGTGGCACCCCTGAAAGAGTAGTGCAGGACTGTTTTACTGTAGTGTTCCATCCACATCAGCCAAAGAATATACTGTATGTGCAAAAACCATTTATAAAGCACCATTCTTTTCCATTTTTTTAATTAATAGTGGCTGTTAACAGTTTCGTGCATGTGCATTCTTCTGCGTTCTCGGTTCCAGACCGTACTTAAGAACACGTCTGACCTGTTGTCAGTTGAATTTATTTAATGCTTTGCCTGACTAAGTCATGTTGTACTTCATGACTTCAAGAACCTTGTCTTGGTGTTCATGCTAAATGTTTTCTGCACCAGACGTGTAGGCCAACTGAGAGAAATCTTTCACTAAATGTCAAAGGACTTTTAATGAATGTCTGCTAAAGTTTGACCTTACAACAGCAGTTCAGCCTGCAATGTGAACAAGATGCACAAGCTGTTCGATTAGACCTGTTTCAAATCTGTATGGCTCCTAATACAAAAACTTTATAACAGAACTTCAGTGGCCTCTTGTCCCTGGAAAATGCTGTCCATTCCAACCATGTCCACTGGCATGCACACAAACACAGGCTCGATTTTCAAAAAAAAAAAATTAAAATTAAACAGTGCAAAAACAAATAAAATATGGTATCTAAACCTTCTGCAATAAGGATAAACCTCGGAAAATGTTTATGAAAAATAATCACCAGGACAACACACGCATGTGGTGTTTACACTGTCGCCAGTGTCGCAGCTATCCCACATCTCCGACAAACACAGAGGAGGGGGCAGCCGGCAAAACAGGAAATATCTTTTGCATATTATTTTAAGTAACTGTTCAAATTTCATTTCAGAATGGTAATCCACAAAACAAATACGATGAGGCATATTTTAAAAAGGGAGGCTCTGCTTCAATTTCCTATTGTGGTGCAGAATGTGTGTTTACTCTTTGTGTCTGTTTGAATTGATTTGCACAGCTCGGCAGACAGCGGCTGAATGCTGCGACCAAGAATCCATCATCTCATGTGATCTGATAGTTCTGCAGTATTAGATTGATTTTCCTCTCTCCTCTCATCTTTCCCTGTCTCTCGCTCTCTTTGTCTGCTTTCCTACCCATTGGCGACGTTAACAAACATGCCAAGTTACCTGTCTCCCCATCTGCTAAAACAGAAACACAGTCCCTTCTGTCATGAACAACAGTTTAAGGTGCAAGAATAAAGAGTAAAGTGTTCGTGTTTGCATGTTACTCCTTGACACCAAACTTTACAGAGCACAGATTTAAGCCTAAATGATCTTCTTTGAAATATCCACTTGATGTATTCATATTCCTGCTGGATTTGGCCTTGAACTGCTAAGAGAATAGAGACAAGAGAAGGCTTAACTTTCCCAAACAATCTTAAGACTCTCGTCAACTCCTTAAGAGCCATCGTGTGATCTCCATCTCTCTTTCCCGCTCGAGCGAAGTTTAAAAACACCTGTCATGGATTCAAAGCAGGGACTCAGCAGTAGCCGGGCAAGCGATCACCTCTCTGGCAACACTAGAGGGAGAGGAATTGGAAACGAGGAGATTTTTAAACGCTCAAAGATCCTCTCATCGCTCTTCTTTAACCGTCAGCAAAGGCAGCAGAGACTGCGCGCAGGTATAAGCCCCACTCTCGCGTATACCTGAGACTTCTATTTTAAGCCCTCCCTTCCATACGGCATGTCAGACGAGCCCGAAATCCCTGCTAATACTAGTTTCCTCTGAAACATAGATCTTACTGTTTGGCTTTTAGCTTTGACAAGTTATTTCCTGCTCCCTTTGAAATAAAAAAGTGGAGTTTTCTGACACAGACTTTACGTTTTTGAGCTCATTAAAGCCGGGATCTGCTTCAATGCTACCTGGATTTTTTTACAGGCGCGATAAGCCAAATTAATATGAACTCGTCAAGGCCACTTAAAATGCTTCTTGTTATCCAAAGCCCTGAGCTCCTGCAACTTATCACACAGCCACTGATATCCTTTAAACTAGCAAGGTGCAGTCCTTTAATTAAAACTAGTAACATTCCCTTGGAAGAGGAGGAAAGGAAATGTAGAGGGGTGGACTTCACAATTTATCACAGGCTCGAGTTAAAAGGAAGCGATTTCGCAAACTAAAGCAACGGCTAATACCTCTTAAACTGACATGCGTTCAAACGGGCCGGCGAAGAAACAAAGTCCCTGAGAATGTACATCATATGCTAAGCTGTGAAATACTACGTGTAGCATGTTCTCTGGCGCAACCCTTAAAACTGGCACCAAATGAAAATGGATGTGTGCTCTTCCTTTGTGCTATACCGAGCCGAGAGATATATCTTTATAATATCCACCATATTTTACTGATAATAAAAAGCAAAGCGCCACATTGCCACCGGAACACTTAGCTAACGTAGAGAGGAGAGGCGGCCATAGCAAATAATGTAAATCAATCTGAGTAATATTGCTTTAAACTTAATGCAATATACTCACTGCAAGTATAGCCGTCCTAATGTGCATTTACATACTGGAGACACAGGCGTATACGGCGTATGACTACATAGGCCTATACAGACATCCATAAACACACACACAGTCATGGGAACACACACTCTTTCTCTCTCTCTCTCTCTCTCTCTCTCTCTCTCTCGCTCTCTCTACTTTCTTTATAATACATCATTCAGTTCTGCCTTTTGCCTGCATGAAATTCATTTTCTAATGGAAATATTTGTTTTGTAAATCAAATATGTATTATGCACAGAATGCAAAGCACAAATTAAATTATGTTAATGAAATGAAAGAGATATGAAATGCATATTTCATGGACAAAACATAACCCCAGCGAACAGCCATTTCTTGATAAAAATCTTTAAACACAATCTCATTCAGAGAAAGACATATTGCTAAGGCAGATAGCACCTCATTAAAATGGTCTCCTTTAATATCAGTGCTTAGTATATATGGGATTGTAAATAACGACTGGGGACGAGGAACCAATAATGAAATACTGTCTTTAATAGCTTGCCATTGATGTCAGCATAAAAAGTGCGTAGATGAATATTGGAAATTGGGCACGCACACACATAGAGTCAAAAGCTGTAAATGATTGCATATTTAAATAGAGCTGACTAAGGCAAAGATGATATAGATATAAGTAATAGGCAGAATATTATGCTGACCTCACAAAATTAAACTAAAAAAAAACAGTTTTAAATTTTATATTGGTTACACTTAATGAATAATAGATTCCACGCAGTGGACTGCACTGCATGATCTTAATAATAATAATAGTATTAAAAAACTGCCTAAAAGAAAAGAAATGGAGCCGCTCTGCCCAGCTGACTCACAAATGAACTAAACTGGCTTTTCAGCAGAAATAAACATGGCGATACGTACAAAAACTAGAGCAAGAGAGATGCCCACTGCTTTGATTTGATGGTGGTGAGAGCAGAAAGGGTGGGGTGCTTGACCTGGCTTATTCTGCTTAATGCTAAATATCTTAA